TTGTGGAACAAAATGATGAGAAACAACTGCACATACAAAGGCAAGATGCTGCTATTCGCAACTTGGAGGCACAAGTGAGTCAACTAGTTGAGGTATTTAATGCTCAACAAGCCAATATTGTGGATAGTAGCCAAGAAGAGCATGAATTATATGCTGAAATTGAGGTGCAAACGGAGGAGGTCAGAGTAGAAAACCAACAGCCTAACCAACTAGAATTTGAGGATGTCGATGTTGAAGAAGTAATACTAGAGTCAACCAAGGACGTTGAAGATACAAATTTAGTTGACTCTAGTGTGATTGGTGTTGAGGAGGTTAAAAATCTTGAAGTTCATGTATTTGAGCGCGTTGGACCTCATTCCAAACACTTCTCTACATTATGTTCAGACGGTGAAATGGAAATTCACCATTATGAGCATAAAAAGGAGTCCAAGGAAGAGGTAGATGAGCCTTATATTTTGGATTTCTCAAGGCCGTCTAGGCAAGGTGACACTCCTCGGTCGAGAGGCAAAAAGTGCATAAGATTTTATCTAATTTTTGGCTCGCAAGAATTTGTACCGCCCCAAGAGCATAATCATAAGCTTGAAGCAAAACTTGGGGTTCAATTCATAAGCTCGAGGTGGAGGAAAAAGTGATTCGCGTCGTGCTGCGACGTTAAATCAAGCGCTTGTTGGGAGGCAACCCAGCTTTATTGCTTTCTTTTATTTATTTTTTATTTTTTTTAATTGTATTATTTTTGTAGTGTCAATTTTTTTATTTTCTAGGAGCATGGAAAACAAAGGTATTGGAAGAATGCAACAGCAAACCAAATGGTTGGAACTAAGTGTGAGGTACCCGCACGAAGGACCAAGCTGGGGAGAAGTCTGAGTACCCCATGAGCTGTAGTGCTTCGGCCTTTGGCCTACCGGGGAGTCTCTTTTACCCTTTTTATTAGTTATGGTGTGCATTGGGGACAATGCACAATTTTAAGTGTGGGGTGAGGAGATTGTCTGGGTGATTTTCTATGCTATTTTAGTTGTGTTAGTTTAATTAAATAATAATTTTTTTTAAAAAAGATTGGACTTTTTTCAACGATGGATCTATTAGACAATTTTCTTGAGGGATTTAAGTCTAAAGAAAAAAAAATCTTTGTAGGTAGTGTAATAATTCCCCCTTGGTTTTTCTTTGTGCCGCGGTTCTTTTCCAAGGGTTTTATTTGAACCGGGTGTAGTTAGTTTTTTTTTTTGGGAGTAGGAGCCATTGTGTTGTGTTTTGAATTGAAGCAATATCTCTTGACTTTGTTATGCCTTGAGAATAGTGAGTACTTTGGTTGTGACGCTTAGGCTCAATTTTTGACTCTTGTAGAAGTACCTTAAATTGTATGATCTTAACTTTGCTTAACTGCTTTGACTAGAGTGTCTTGATGAAACCAATCCTGAGTGAGTTATGTGCCATGTGTGTGTAAGGATTTGTTATATTCTGTGCATTGCATTTGATGCCTAGAACTTGCCCCGTGTGTTTGCAAAGCGAAATAGTAGTTTTATTCAGTCTAGGAAGTGATATAGGCATTTCTTTGTTGAGCCAGATATGTATATTTTACCCGCCTAATTATTTGTATCGTAGTTAACCCCTTTGAGCATGTAATCATGTTTCTTTGGCAACCACATTACAAGCCTTACCCATTTGTTTGAATTAAACATCTATTTGAACCTTTTAACCTCTCATAAGCACTTGAATTGTGATGATTTATGTAAAAGTTAAAGTGTGGGGTGATTGGTTTGGCTTTTGAGTGGAACTAATGAAATCAGGAGAAAGGTGCACTGTTTTGAACAAGTAAGAGCCACTTGCATTGGAAAAAAAAATATATAGTTGTATTGCTGTGAAAAAAAAGAAAGTATTTATCTAATAAGTGGTGACTCTTGCTGTAATTGTGATTAAAGAAGTATGGGGTAATATACATTGATGTGAAGGTGGAGTTTAGTTTGACATAAGTATGGGGTTTAAATGTTAAAGTATATGTATTAAAGTGCTTAGGGAGGTGTAGTCACTCTTATATCTAAATGTATCCTACCTGTCCCACAGCCTACATTACAACCGAATAAAGTCCTAATTGATCCTAGATTGAATGAGCTCGATTAGTAGAGTAGTACACTACGGGCAAGCTTATGGTGCATCTTTTGTGGCATATGAATGTTATTCTGAGAGTGAGTGAATTCTTTCTATCTTGAGTTCCTAAGTGTTCTTAAATTTTGTTGTGTGGAACTACTCTCTTTTGTTGTGTGAGGGCACTTGATTCATGAAGGAAAGGTAATGTCAGTGACCTCTATGTTAGAGTAAGTAGGTGAGTTGTGAATAATGCGTGGTGTGAGTCAAATCTTGAGGTGAAGATGTTACGCTTTTGTGCTTAGTCTATTTTAAATACTCTTGGTGTGATGCGTTAGGAGAATTGTTTAAAAAGGTCGTGTCTATAAAAAAAAGTGTAGTTGATTGCTCGAGGACGAGTAATGTTTTAAGTGTGGGGTGTTGATGATAGGCAATAATTACTTATTTTAGTCGATTATTACACTCTAATTTACTGCACTTTAGTTGAGTTTGTGCTTTAATCGCTAGTGTTTTGCACTAACGGTGTGTTTTATGCCTTGTAAGAGTGATTCCGAGATATATAGATGTTATGGAATGAATTCAAGTGATTTGGAGCTTTGAAGTCTGAGTAAAAGTCCAAGGAATTAAGTCGGGATCGTATTCAGGGATCAACGGATGATAAAACAACAAAACGAAGACTCGAGTAGGCATATTGCGCACTGTCTAGTAAAATGCACATAACGTTTTGCTCAGAACTCCATTTGGGCTCCACAATATATGGTTGGAAAGATAACTAAAAGAACTATAACTTTTATGTTTTACATTTTTCCAAATTTCAAACGGAACAGGGTGAAAAATGCGGTCAAAACCGCGACCGCGGGACTGGGGCAGTGTTCACCGCGGTCGTCACCGCGGTCCACGCCGCGGTTTGAGGCAGTGCCTTCCGCGGTTCACCGCGGTCCTGACCGCGGCCGCGGCAGTCCATACGTGAAATATTATCCTTTTTCGCGTAGGAGAAGGTATAATTATTTGGGCCCGACCCTACTTGGTATATATACATGGAAAAACGGTATTTTAAGAGAGTTGAACATACTTTTGACATAATTTAGACCTAAGGAGGCAGAGACACAAGAAGAGCAAGGCGGGGAATTCTTCAACAAGTTTTTCCTTCCTCTTATTATTTATGAATAGCTAATTTATTATCTAGAGTTTTGATGGAACCTTTTGGGGATGAATTGGTTGTTATATTAATATAGTTTTGAGTTTGTTGTTAATCTCTATTTGTTCAACTACGTTTTGATTTTGGTTAATTGAAAGGATCCTCAATTAGTCGTTCATATTTATTATGTATCTGTTTGAGAGAGAGTGCATATTTAGGTAGTTGTTTGAACAACATCACTCCCGGAGTATAGGCGAGAGTCATAACCGAGGGTTTAGAGGTTGGATTAGAGATAACGATACCTCGGGTGCGATCTAAGTGAATTGTAATGTGAATCTAGCTAGCGTAGCTTGAGAGAGTGCGTCTAGTAAATTATCATAATTGCTTGAGAGAGATTTATGATAGCTGGAGAGTTCATGATTGATAGAGGCAACTAAGTCAAAGCTATAAGAAACATACAATTAATGAAATCAACAATTGGGGAAATCATAACTCTAGACCTCCTTAATTTAGTCTTCAAACCTTTGTCTCGTTAGTTGATAATTTTACCGTTTTATAGTATTTGTTGGTTAATTAGTTAGATATAAAAATCTTAATATTATAATTTAGAAATTGTTCAAACTTGTCTTCTTTGCGATATTGAACAATTACAGCGAAACCTTAATTCTCTGTGTGATTCGACTCCGGACTTTTAGACCGGATTATATTTGCAACGACCGCTTATCCTTTTTAGGACTAGAATTGGGCGAGATCACCAAGGCTCCGACGTAGAGCCTCAACCATGGGCCATGGCCCAACCCAAATCTGTAGATGCGCTATCTCCACAAGATAGAACCGTGTATTTGCACAAAAAATTACAGAAGTATCGCACTTTTTGAGGTGGTTTTTAACTTTTGACCCTGCTTGCCCCATGAGTTAAAACTTCAAGGTCAAAAGTTAAAAGTATTATCCATGATTCAAGCGAGCAGTGCTGCCCATTGGGCAAGCGAATACAAAAATTCAAGATCATCCACTTTGAAGGCTATTTGAATACTTCACTCGTATTTGCATGTAATGCCGCTTTTACCCACGCTATTTAAGACATAACCAGTTTTATAAGTTTTTTTTTTAAATTTCCCTCTCAATTTCGATGGATCAATTTTGTTTTCCATACTTCCCCTCCCAGCATAACTCGCACACAAGACCTAATGGTCATGGGTGGAGATACTTAACCAACTGAGCAAGCTAGCCTCGCTTGTCTTTTATAAATATTCAAGGTTAGCAAAATGGGAAAGCCTTTTCTTATTCACGTTCTTCTCCTCCTCCTCCTTTCTTCCTCTTTTCTCCCCGTCCTTCTCCTCTTCTTCGTCCTCCTCCTCTTAAACTAAAAATAACTATCTCACCAAATCGTTTAAATTAAGATACCAAGTGAAATCGTTTAAATTAAGATACCAAGTGAATGTATAATATATGTATAATTTATATAAAATATGTATATGAACATGTATAATATATATATATATATATATATATATATATATATATATATATATATATATATATATATATATATATATATATA